ATTTTGTAGATATCAGCAGACTGACTTTATAGAGTTTAAATGGAGAGGCAAAAGACCAGAATAGCTAACACAATACTGAAGAAGAACAAATTTGGAGGACTGACACCACCCAATGTCAAGACTTACTATAAAGCTACAGTAATCAAGACTTGTGGCATTGGCAAAGCAACAGACAAAGAGATCAATGGAACAGAATAGGAAGCCCCCAAATAGACCCACATAAATATAGTCAGCTGACCTTTGACACAGGAACAAAGGCAATGCAATGGAGCAAAGATAGTGTTTTCAACAAATGGTGCTGGAACAAGTGAACATCTATATGCAAAACAAAACAAAAAAAGAATCTAGAAAGAGACCTTACACCTTTCACAAAAATTAACTCATGATGGATCATAGAACTAAATGTAAACACCAAACCCTCAAACTCCTAGGAGATAACGTGGGAGAAAACCTAGATGACCTTGGGTAAGGCAATGACTTTTTAGATACAACAGCAAAGGCACGATCCATGAAAGAAAAAGTTGATAAGCTAAATACTAAAATTAAAAACTTGTCGGTGAAAGACAGTGCCAAGAAAATGAGAACACAAACCACCGACTGGGAGAAAATATTTGCAAAAGACACATCTGATCAGGAACTATTATCCAAAGTATACAAAGAACACTTAAAACTCAATAATTAGAAAACAAACAACCTGATTTAAAAATGGGCCAAAGACCTGGGTGTCTGGGTGGCTCAGCTGGTTAAGCGACTGCCTTCAGCTCAGGTCATGATCCTGGAGTCCCGGGATTGAGCCCCGCATCGGGCTCCCTGCTCAGTGGGGAGTCTGCTTCTCCTTCTGACCCTCATGCTCTCTCTATATATATCTCATTCTGTCTCTCAAATAAATAAATAAATAAAATCTTTTTAAAAAAATGGGCCAAAGACCTTAACAGATACCTCATCAAAGAAGATATACAAATGGCAAATAAGAACATGAAAATACACTCCACATCATGTGCCATCAGGGAAATGCGAATTAAAACAACAAAGAGATACCACCACACACTTACTAGAATGCCCCAAATCCAGAGCACTGACAACACCAAATAGTGGGGAGAATATGGAGCAACAGGAACTGTCATTCATTGCTGGCAGACACGCAAAATGGAAGACACTTTGGAAGACAGTCTGGTGATTGTTTATAAAACTGAACACGTTCTTGCCATATGATCCAGAAATCGCACTCCTTTCAACCCAAAGGAGTTGAGAACTTATGTCTACTAAAAAACCTGCACAAGTATGTTTACAGCAGCTTATTCATAATTGCCAAAACTTGGAAGTAACCAAGATGTCCTTCAGTAGGTGAATGGATAAGCTGTGGTACATCCAAATAATAGAATAGTATTCATTGCTAAAAAGAAATCAGGGGCGCCTGGGTGGCTCAGCTGGTTAAGCATCTGCCTTCAGCTCAGTTCATGATCCCAGAATCCTGGGATTGAGCCCTGCTTCGGGCTCCCCACTCATGGAAAGCCTGCTCCTCCCTCTCCCTCTGCCGCTCCCCCTGTTTGTGTGCTCTCTCTCTCTCCCTGTCTCTCTCTCAAATAAATAAAGTCTTTAAAAAATAAAAATAAATGAGCTATCAAGACTAGAAGAGACATGGAGGAAACTTAAATGTTTATTACACAGTGAGAGAAGCCAATCTGAAAAGGCTACCTACTGTATGATTCTGACTATATAACATTCTGGAAAAGGCAAAACTATGGAGAGAGTAAAAAGATCAGTGGTTGCCAGGAGTTGCCAAATACAGAGGATTTGGAGGACAGTGAAAATACTCAGTATAATACTATAATGGCGGATATATGTCATTATACATTTGTTTAAACCCATAGAATGTACAACGCCAAGAATGAATCCTAAGGTAAACTATGGATTTTGGGGGGGTGCCTGGGTGGCTCAGTGGGTTAAGCGTCTGCCTTCGGCTCAGGTCATGATCTCAGGGCCCTGGGATCAAGCCCCGCATCAGGCTCCCTGCTCGGCGGGAAGCCTGCTTCTCCTCCCTCTCTCACTCCTCCTGCTTGTGTTCCCTCTCTCGCTGTCTCTCTCTGTGTCAAATAAACAAATGAAATCTAAAAAAAACCCAAAACTATGGATTTTGGGTGATTATGATGTGTCAATGTATGGTCATCAATTATAACAAATATACCACTCTGGTGGGGGATATTGATAATGAAGTAGGGCAGAGGTACATGGGAAATCTCTCTACCTCCCTCTCAATTTGACTGTGAACCTAAAATTTTTCTAAAAAATTAAGCCTTTAAAAAAAAATTAACAATCCACTCCCCGTACAAGCTGACTCTAGCATACCAATAGAGGTGCCTGAGGAACATCCATGAGTTGTTTAGAAGGCCACTGGAACCACAGGTCTCGAGCTATCAAGGTCGGGGTTGCTCTGCCCTTGTCTCAGTCCTTGCCCCGACCCAGCCTCTCCTGATGGGCCTGCCCACATACCTGCCCTCTCGAAAGAGGCTCCCTCAGCCCTCTACTAGAGACCAGCAAGTCAGGACCAGGAATCCAGCCTCCACAAACCCGTTAGACTGTAGTGTAATCTCTGCCAGCCAGTGCAAGAGTGTCTTGCTGGACTCTCCAAGGACACACTTCAGCCCAGTTCTCACATGAGTGGCAGTATTTCCCAAACTTAATCGTCCAAGAATGACCTTCACAATTTTTGCCAGATCCATGTGACCACTTGTACTATTATTTAATCAACATTTTTCTTTAAATTGCCTTTCAATCAACTGTTCCTGCCTTTTGTGCTTTTGCTTCCTCCCAAGAAACAATAGTTTACCTCACCCCACGCCCCCCCCCGAAAAAAAAACCTGAGGAAAATGTCATGCTGGAGACCAACATACTTTCTCTAAAGGAAGTCTACATAATCAGGTCGTGACAGATAGCTATCTCATAAGTTGAGTCCCTGATGAGTCATGGAAATGCAGTTAGGACCGATGTTGTTAAAAAATCCATAAATTCGAGTCCCAGTTGGTGTCATGAGAGTTCCATGGGGCTGGAGATCAATTAGGAGAAAACATTAGATCCACATTTCCTATGTACCTCACTACAGGGCACATTTTTTAAAGAGATTTTATTATTTATTTATTTGACAGAGAGAGACACAGCGAGAGAGGAAACACAAGCAGGGGGAGTAGGAGAGGGAGAAGCAGGCTCCCCGCGGAGCAGGGAGCCCGAGGCGGGGCTCCATCCCAGGACCCCGGGATCACGACCTGAGCCGAAGGCAGCCGCTTAACTGACTGAGCCACCCAGGCATCCCCAGGGCACATTAAAAAAAAAAATATTTTTTTTAAGTGCTCTGTACACCCAACATGGGGCTTGAACTCACAGTCCTGAGATCAATTATCAGATGCTCTATGGACTGAGCCAGCCAGGCGCCCAGGAGATACATGTTTATTAATGGGGAATTGTTGGGGGGGAGCAGAGGTGGGATCTGAACTGCTTAAATTTTTTTCTCTCTCTCTATAAATCTTTAGGTGAATTCATTCACCTCAGTTTAATGTGTTAATAATGGAAACTGTTATATCCACAAATGGTCACTGTCTGAGAGCACAGAGGAAGGAGCACAATGTCTGTCAGAAGAAAGCATTGGGGGGCGCCTGGGTGGCTCAGTCGTTAAGCCTCTGCCTTCGACTCAGGTCATGATCCCAGGGTCCTGGGATCAAGCCCCGCATCGGGCTCCCTGCTCTGCGGGGAGCCTGCTTCTCCCTCTCCCACTCCCCCTGCTTGTGTTCCTTCTCTCACTGTGTCTCTCTGTCAAATAAATAAATAAAATCTTAAAAGAAAAAAAAAGAAGAAGAAAGCATTGGGAGGGATGCCTGAGGGGCTCAGGCGGTTAAGCGTCTGCCTTCGGCTCAGGTCATGATCCCGGGGTCCTGGGATCGAGTCCCACATCAGGCTCCTTGCTCGGCAGGGGAGCCTGCTTCTCCCTCTGCCTGCCACTCCCCTTCCTTGTGCTCTCTCTCTTTCTCTCTCTAGCAAATAAATAAATAAAATCTTAAAAAAAAGAAAAGAAAGTTTCGGGAATCTGAGAAATCTTGACAGAGGAAATGACATCAGAGCCGGGATTTGAAAGACTAGTGGAAGTTCTGGTGAAGGGTGAGGAGGACATTCCAGGTAGAGGGACACATAAGCGAAGGCCTGCGGGTATAAATGTTTCTGTCATGTTTGTTGATGCCTACAGGTTCAGTGCAGATAGAGTGCAGGGCTGGACTGTGAGGGGGATCTTTTGGCCATACTAACAAGTTTGGACTTCAATGTAGATAAGGGGAACTCTTCCGAATTTCTTAAAGCTAGTCACATATACAGAATCGGAAGGGGAAAACTGCAAGTGGGGAGACCAGCTGAGAAAGTTCCATAACTGTCTGAGCATCAGGGGATGAGAACCCGTTCTAAGAGAGAGGCAAGATGTTGGAGGAGAATGAGGCAGAAATAGGGAAGTAATAAGGCAGTTGAGCTAATTTAGGAAATAAAGATGATGACTTGATTTTAGACTGATCATAGTGAAATTATTAAGCTCTTGAGCTCTGGAATCAGGAAGAATCCTGGCTCTGCAACATCCCAGTTGTGTGATCTTAGACACATTATTTAACATCTCTGAGCCTCAGCTTCTTCAACCGCAAAATGTGGCTAAGAAAATACCTACCATATAGGAAGGACTAAGCAGAGTAAGTACTCAATAAACATTAGCTATCATTTTTAGTATTATTATTTTTACAGCAAGCTAAATTTCAGTAACTGGTGGAATATCCAATAGGCAGTTGGAAATGTGAATCAAAGCGTAAAAGGAAAATTAAAGCAGAGGTTTCTGATTCACCTTGTAGAGGTAACAATCTCAGAGAGTAACTGAGCCTCTGTGAAGGGCAAAGAAAGGATTTTTGCAGAATGTTCACATTTAGAAGTGGTATAAGAAAGGGTCCAGAAAATTAGAGGCACGAGAGGGAGGTCCTTACCATGGAGAGGCTCTGCAAAGTGCCAAACACAGCGGTTTCACCTAAGTCCTCAGTCCCTGACACATCTGCAGCATTGGATGCAAGTGACCTCTTAAAGCCTTCTTTTAGAAACTCTCTTGTTCAGTTTCCATGGCATTCTGTTCTTTTCTACCTTCTCTGATTATGCATAGGATGTCTCAGCCGAAAGCCCTGGAGCTTACTGGCTCCAACCCCTTCATTTTACAAAGGAGGAGACTAAAGAGCCAGAAAATGGAAGTAGCTTATTCGAGGTTCACACTCAACTGTTCCTTCCTTGTCTTCCCCCCCCTTTCTCACTTCCCACAGTTCTTTGCTTTCTGCTCTCCTATACTCACTTCCTCTTTCTATAAACTCATCTGTTTCCGTAGCTTTCAGGATTGCCTTCAGGTCTTTGGTTGCCAAACTGAAATCTCCTACCTTGCCTCTCTCCAGAGCTGCTCTCCCTCCCTTCCAACAGCTAGCTGGATGTTCCCTTAACACCTCACACTCAGCATATCTGAAACATAATCGTTCCCCACAAAGCTAGCTTCCTTCTTTGACTCAACCATCCTATTAATGGCACCTCCATTAGCTAATCCCTTACCAAATCTGATGGGTTAGTCCTGTATAAATGTCCATGTAGTGCAGTGGTTAAGCACACTGCCATTAAGGGACAAAACTGCCTGGGACCAAATCCTGGCTCTGTGATCTTGGGTAAGTGACTTGGTCTGAGCGAGAGGCCATTAGAACCAGAAGAGACCTTAATGATAGATATTTCTCGAGATGCCTGGGCAGCTCTGTTGTTTCGGCATCTGACTCTAGATTTTAGCTCAGGTCATGATCCCAGGGTCGTGAGATCTAGCCCCAAGTTGGGCTCTGTGCTCAGCATGGAGTCTGCTTGGGGTTCTGTTTCTCGCTCTCCCTTTGCCCCTCCCCCTGCTCTCTCTTGCAAATAAAAATAAATAAATAAATAAATAGAATCTTTTGATTTTATTTGATTTGGCAGAAAGAGTGAGAGAGCACAAGCAGGGGGAGTGGCAGAGGGAGAGGGAGAAGCAGGCTCCCCGCTGAGCAGGGAGCCCGATGCGGGGCTCAATCCCAGGACCCTGGGATCGTGGCCTGAGCCGAAGGCAGATGGGTAACCAACTGAGCCACCCAGGTGCCCCAATAAATAAAATCTTTTTTAAAAAAAGATACACATTTGTTCAAACTTCACCTTTTTCAGAAAAAAATGTGAATCCCTGAAAAGTAAATCCCCATAGTCTGCAAAAGAGTCAGGATTGGAATCCAGGGCGGTTGAAGCCCCAGGCTGGTACACTTTGTACTACACCAATATTGCCTCTTGCTACCTATTGGATCTGTCACCACTGCCACCTCCTTAAATAAGATATTTATTACCTTGTGCCTGGATTATTGACACAGTCACCTCTACCTACCCCATCCCCCATTCATCCTGCCAAGTTAATTGGCATCATTTCCATCTTGTCATTCCCCTCGGTGAGCCAAAGCTTTTAGTGGTTCCTCATTGCCTACTAAATAAAATCCAAATGTCCAAGCGAGGCATCATAACTCTTCCAAAATCTGGTGTCAGCCCACCTTGTCATGCTTCATTACCCACACTACCTTTTATACCCCATGGCCCAGCCGTGCCCAATACTCTGTGTTCCTTGAGCAGCTCACGTAACTTCATGCCCTGTTGCCTTTTTACATACTGTTCTCTGAACTTTGAGTGTCCTCGCTTTGATTTTTCTCCTGTCGAATTCTTACTTAAGGGCCAACTCAAATGTCCTAGGGCATGAAGACTTTTCAGATTTCGCTAGTCAGAATTAATCTCTATGATAATATATGTGACATGAATTACCATCATAGATCAGTGTGTAGAAAACCTGAGTTTTCCTCTCCCTCTTCCTTTTTTCACCTGTGCTCCCACAACATATTGCTTGTACCTCTGTTTAACACTTATGTCACTTACCTTATATTAGAGCTGGTTATTTATTTATTTTTTTAAAGAGATTTTATTTATTTATTTGTCAGAGAGAGACCGAGAGAGAGCACACAAGCAGGGGGAGCAGCAGGCAGAGGGAGAAGCAGGATCCCTGCCGAGCGAGGAGCCTGATGTGGGGCTCGATCCCAGGACTCCGGGATCATGACCCCCAGCTGAAGGCAGACACTTAACTGACTGAGCCACCCAGGCGTCACAAAGCTGATTATTTAAACTACTAGTGAGACTCCTGTCATTCATCTTTGCATCCTCCATGGCCCCTAATAGAGTTCCTGGTATACAACAGGTACTTAACAAATATTTCATGAAATGAAACAAAAACTGTGGAGTCAAGTCTTGAGATGCCCCCTCATGAATAATTCAGCAAGACCAATTCCTGTTGCTGCACATGGAGTGACACGTTGAGAGAAGAAAATCTGGGAAAGCTTGTTGGTCTCCAACAACGTGCTTCGAAACAGCTTCGGTAACTTTCAACCTGACAGGTAATGTTCTTATCCCCACATTCTTTAAAGTAAGCTGAAGTTTAGGTAGGCCCATCACCCCAAGCCAGTGAGTGGGTTACCAATAAGTGAAAAGCAGAGACCGGTGCTGAAGAGGTGAAAGCAGGAGCTCTTTGGAGCCATTTATAAAAGGAGTCTACCATGATCCAGAAATTAATGTTTCCCTGGAAAGGAAATCTTGACTGAGGTCCTTGGATCATTTCCCTTGGAAGAGCGGGTAACTGTGATGGGTGATGTAGGCCAAGTAGCTTGGCATGTGTGACATGCCTTTATGGTTTCTCAGTGGCAGGATCTATTCCAGGCCATTCTGGACATAGCTTTTAGCTAAGGCTGTTGGGCAGCTCATTCCAATTCTGGAACTGATGCCTGGGGTATGGCCAAGATGAAAGATGACTGCATTCTCGTGATGACAACTTAAAGACAGTCCTCAAGTTCACTCCCTTGTTGGCCACCTCCATTCATTCATTCATTCAGTTGTCATTTATCAGACACCTACTGTGTGCCAGGAACATAGGTTCTGATACAGAGATGCCCTTAAAAAAGTATTATTCTAATGGAGGAGACAGACAGGGAAACAAACAATATGGTGGACTCTCATAAGGGCCCTCACAGAGAAATACAGTGCAGAGGAGAAAGAGAGAGATAGAGAAAGTGGAGGGAATAAAACCTAAACTCCTGAATGTAACACAAAAGGCCACTGGCTACCTCTTACCACTCCTCAGCCTTTGTATGTGAAGAGTAGACTATCTGAGCTGAGTTTCAGAGAACGAACAAGAGTTTGTAAAGAAACAGGGAAAAGGTGGGCACCTGGGTGGCTCAGTCAGTTAAAGCGTCTGCCTTGGGCTCAGGTCCTGATCCCGGGGTTCCGGGATCGAGTCCCAAGTCGGGCTCCTTGCTCAACGGGGAGCCTGCTTCTCCCTCTCCCTGCTGCTTCCCCTGCTTGTGCTCTCTCTCTCTAATACATAAATAAAATCTTTAAAAAAAGAGAAAGAAACAGGGAAAACGTGTTGTGGGCAGACTATATTTCCAAGGCAGTGAGGAGCCAATGGAGGGTTTTAAGCAGGGGAGTGACATGATTATATATTCATTTCAGAAAGACCACTCTGAAGAATGTTTGGAGAATGGATTGGAAGAGGCCATGAATGGTGGTAGGGAGACAGGAAACTGGTTTACCAATCCGATGGTAAAATTATCAGAGTCTGTACCAGGGCAGTGGAAGTGAAATAAAAAGGAAGAGAAGTCAAAAGATATGAGGAGGTAAAACCTACAGGGTTTAGTTATTTATTGAATATGGAGCGTAGGAGAACAAACAGGAAGGGGAAGCTCACGCCCACTCCCCAGATTCTTGGCTTGGGCAGTGGGTGGGTACAATATTGCACAGTGGGATAAGGGAACACTAGGGGAACAGCAGGTTCGAAAGCAGGAGAGATGAGATTGACATTCAGTATATATGTATTTGGAGACCAGAAATGAGGTGTGGCTTGAAGATACAGATTTGCAACTGTTAGTAACTGAAGCCACGGGAGTGGACGAGACTGCCCAGGGAGAGTTTCAAGAGTGATGAGAACAGAGAATGGAACCCTGAGGACTATCAACATTTAAGGAGGGGAGTAAGGCACACCTGGCTGGCTCAGTTGGTAGAGCATGTGGCTTTTGATCTTGGGGTTGTGAGTTCAAGCCCATGTTGGGTTTCCTTAATAAAAAAAATGGGGGTCACCTGGGTGGTTCAGTCGGTTAAACGTCTGCCTTCAGTTCAGGTCATGATCCTGGAGTCCTGGGATTGAGCCCCACGTCAGGCTCCTTGCTCAGTGGGGAGTCTGCTTCTCCTTTTCCCTCTGTACCTCCCCTGGCTCATTCTCTCTCAAATAAATAAATACAATCTTTTAAAAAAAATTTAAGGGGTGGAATAAGAGCAAAGCATGAAGCAGTCATGAAGTAAGAGAGAGATCAATAGAGAAAAGAGTAACAAAAGTCAAAGGGCATTACATGGTCATAAATTAGGTTTTAGAGAAATATTTAATGACATTTTTATTTTTTAAAAGAATTTTTTAAGTTATCTCTATACCCAACATGGGGCTCGAACTCACAACCCCGAGATCAAGTTGCATGCGCCATTGACTGAGCCAGCCAGGGATCCCTTTAATGACATTTTTGTTTTTTAAGGTGTTTTTATTAAAGCATGGGGACAGGACCCATGGGCAGAAAGAGCTGCCTTTAATTACATTTTTAAATGGTCATGTTATAATGGCAAGTGAGAGAGTATATAAGATAATATTTGTTGCAGAAAACAGACTGGTGGGTTGCCAGAGGTAAGAGATGGAGGGTGGATGAAATGGGTGGAGGGGATTAAAATAAGTAAGCCATGGAGATGTAATGTACAGCATAGTAACTGTAGGCAATTACATATTTGAAAGTTGCTACACGAGATGTTAGGAGGCGCCTGGGTGGCTCAGTAGGTTAAACGTCTGACTCTTGATCTCAGCTCAGGTCTTGACCTCACAGTCATGGGTTCAAGCCCTGCATTGGGCTTGAATCAAAAAGAATATATGTATATATTTTCATTGAAAAATGACTGTAATGGGCGCCTGGGTGGCTCTTTGGTTAAGTGTCTGCCTTCAGCTCCGGTCATGATCCCAGGGTCCTGGGATGGAGCCCCGAATCAGGCTCCCTGCTCAGCGGGGAGTCTGCTCCTCCCTCTCCCTCTCTCTCTGCCCTCTTCCCTGGCTTGTGCTTTCTCTCACTCACTCTCTCTCTCTCTCAAATAAATAAACAA